ACGAGGTTTTGTCTGCGTTCGCGTGTCTTTAAACATGACTTGATCCGCTTATTTTTTTCATCCGAATAATATTTTTCTCTCACAAATTCCTCCAACATTCCTCGAACCCATTCAGATTTCTCTAAAATTCAGACAAGCGAACAGACATTTGAACCAAACCCGTAACGGCTCCTGGTCCGTCCGATCGATCGAGGCCGGAGCGTACGGCGCGTCCGATCCGTCGCGCGCCGGCCGACGCGTCGCGCCGCCGCAGCCGCTTGGAGTCTGGCACTTGCCGGCACGGTGGCCCGGTGCCTCGGCCTGGTCTTGTCTGATCTCAGTGGCATTCCTAGTCCAGTAGTTCTAAGACTCTTACTAGCTCGTACTGCATATATGCATTCGTGCAAAGCCTGTTTGGATGGTGACCTGCCAGGCAACCAGCCTGTTTGGATGGTGACCTGCCAGGCATTGAAACCAAACAGGCCCTGAATTAGTTCTTCTTGCCACCAGGCATCAATCCTGACCACCATCGAAATCGACGGTCTGGATCTAATGATGTTTTGGACACAAGGGTTAAAATGATAACCTTGCCTGGCATTGAGTGGCGAGAAAAGCAGTGACCCCAAACAGGCCCTGAATTAGAAATTCTTTGGAATAGTTTTTTAGGGTACAAGTCTTGCCATCAATAGCCATAGTCCCATAGATATTGTGAGATAACTCTTGCAGTCTAGTGAGAACCAAACAGATCAAACATGTATCACACCAACTATTTCTACATGCATTATTCTTTTTTGAAAAAACTACATGCATTATTTCATCACCGAAAATGCTCTAAATCATGAGAGGATCCAGTGGTACGACGGGCGGGGCTCGAGCCCCCTCTACCGGCTCCCGCATAATGGAGCTCTCCTTGAGCTCCTCCTCCATTTATCTGGACAAAGATGGGAGAAAAAGAGATAGGAGGAAGAAAGGAAAGAAGAAGAAGAGAGAAAGAAATGGGGAAGAAGCAAGCCCCTCCTTGTATTCAGGTTGCGTCCGCTACTGCTCTAAATGTATTTTTTTTATGTTACTTACGGCACCGCCACCGAGACATAGGGAGATGCCACCTGCCACAACTCTGGCTCCTCACTACCGCCGTCGGCGCCGCGCCTAGTCCTCTCTCCTTCGTCTGTGTTGCATCTTTTTGCTGCAGATTTTATTTCTAGTTACTTAGGTTTAGTCAAATAAATCTTTTAGCAAAATTAGATGATTTTTTATCGGGGTTATGTTTCCTACGATGACTTTGATGATTATCACGATGAGATCGTCGTTGCATGCGTCTATTTCATCGGTAGGTAATCAATTTGTGATCTTTATCTGTAAAGGGAGGGGTGCTTCGGCACTCCCAACGAGGACAATTACTCTGGGTTATCGATTTTATCGTTGATGGTCATGGAGAGGAAATCAAGATTTGGAGATGATGAATCTGCATCCTATGTTGTATCCGACGATGCAACTACCAATATTCTTTCATCGATATAGATGCATTTTGGACCGGTTTCGAAGTGTTGATCTTATGGCATGTCTAATGTTTTAGGGCTGATCGTTGGATTCGGCATAAGGATCCCACTTTAGCTCCGGCGTTCGAGGGAAGCCATTGGGAAAGAAAACGATTGGAAGAATCTAGATAGCATATTATGTATTTTTTATTTCAAAATTTTTTCATGTGTAATTTAGAAATGTACTGTGCCAAAATTTAATATAATCCTCTCGTGGGGTGGGGACTACAAGAACCCGTTCAAAAGAGGACAAACTCATCTTATACATTCATTCGTGGGATCAATGTGCTTAACGGAAACGTTCCATCAGGATTCTTCTTTCGGATATACCAATGGGCTTGTCCGAGCACGGTCCCCGCCCGGGCCGGCCTGGGATGGCGCGGTGGCTGGTCAGGGCCGAAAGGGCCACCGCCGAGCGCGGCATGCTGACTTGCAGAGTTTTTTAGCCTTTTGGGTCGTTGTGGTCGCCTGGTCGGCTGCCAGTGCCCAGCGCCCCACCCGTGTCTTCCTTTCCTTCCATTCTTCGAGCGCGCCCCGCAGACTCGCAGAGCCCGCGGGAATTGCCGAAGAAACCTCCGGTCTCCCTGTGCATTCTCGCTCGGTCGCTCCTGAGTCTGACGTCTGACCTGTTGCACAGCGCTGCCGCCAGCAACGCAATGCTGCGTCGGCTCATCTCACGCCGGGCTCAGTCAGACAACCAGACGCGGACTCGTGTCAGGATGAGAGCTTGTCCCCTCTCTCCTCGATCTCCTTTCCCCCTCCGGCCCTCCATGAGCAACGTGACATCTGCTCCCAAGGCAAGCAGGGTAGCAATTTCGGTCTTGTTGGATGATCAGGTTTCGCTTTAGGATGCAATCCAGGCGTTCGATGGTATTCCCCAGAGAAGAGGCCTGCGTTCGGTCCGGTCTTCAGCTCGGAGGTATGAGCTGCTAAAGTCATCTCAGAGCTGCTCTGCTCCCTTTCTAAATCCGATACCACAGCTGTAGAGTCGGAGTGTCTCGCTTGCCTGTAGTAGTTGATTCCTCATCATGCCCATCGGTTGTTGCTTGTGTGGTGCAAAACTGCAAATTGCAATACTGTCGGTTTGCTACGATTACCCCTTGCCTTTAAGAACCAATTCTGGTCATTGGTTGTTTTGTCCACTGTCCTTTGGTGGACCAGTATTTCTGCTGTGGAAGTAACGAGATTTTAGCCTGGTATTTTGTCCAGTTAAATTCATGTTTTTCATTTACAGGAAAGACAGTTTGAAGCCAAAATTGCGCTTTGTTATTATTTGCTAAAACAGAGTAATAAAATGCAATTATATAGTGTTTTTATTTTCCTTAAAAACTGCTGATTGCTCAAAAATGGACTGCAAAGGAACCATAGCAATATGTCGTTTGAAGCACTGATCCGATAGCTCCAGATTTTGAACAAATTTACTACTTCTCATTGGTGACAATGATCTGCATTGAGTAACCCGCTTCTTGCACTTCCATTTAATTTAGTTTTTTGTACAGTACATGCTCACCTAGGTGATTTAAGTGATTGTCCTTATATCATTAGAACACTGGATTTCAGTCTAGAACAATTGAAGTGGAAACACTTTTTGTTCAGGTAACATAATGAGCTTCCTTTACAGAAGTATTGCATCCCGGTTCGATGTACTAGTGTACTTGCTGGTGATCCCTCTTTTTCTTTGTATTCTTAGCTTACAAGGCACATATGAACTGTATTGGTAGATATTTTACTTTACATTTGATGCATTTATGTACATGCTGTGCTGCTGATTAATTTTTTCCTTTTATGGTAGCCTCTTCCAGGGGATGTTCATCATCCTTTCTACGGCAATACCTCAGTTCAAGGCCAACTATGTAATGGCTTGACTCTTTAGTTGGTGAGCCAACTCTCTCGTGCTTCATTCACAACTTTCTTCCATTCTACTAGTAGACATGTAGTTCTGAATTCTGATTACGACATCGTGACATCTGTTCTGCTTTCTGATCATGAGCTTTCTGTTACATTGATTCATTAACGTACACATCAGTGCAGATCAATTTAGAGCTATAGACTAGGGCATTTATATGTTAAGGTTGGTTGGTTGGTTGTTACACTGGAGAAATCATTATCCAGCTGTACCTTAGCGATGTACTTAGCTTAATATCAACCGCCAGATGGCCGCTAGGTACTTGTGTCTGCTCACTCTTGTGCTTTACTCTCCACTGTGATCCAAGCTAACAGAAATAAAGCAAAACGGATCACATCTGAAACAGCAAGCTTCAAAACGGAGTTGGCAGTAAATTGATGCTTTATTGTTGGTAATTTTGACCCATGTTCTATGGATTTTTTATTATTATTTCGGAATTGATTTGGACATGTAAGGAAGGGCAAGCCTGGTGCAGTGGTGAGAGCTGTCTCACTGAGTCACCAGGTCACGGGTTTGAAGCACCCTCTCCGCAGATTTTGCGGGGGGAAGGCTTGCCTCGTTTTTTCCCTTCCCCAGACCCCACTCATGTGGTAGCCTCCGGCACTGGGTCTGCGCTTTTTTTTTTTTGACATGTAAACCTTTTACCAGGTCCATAAATCTGAATCTGTCCACATGTACTAACAATACTGTAGGATAATTCTCTTATGTAAAGAAGCCTTAGATACATAATGTGTCAATAGCAGACATTATTAAATACAAAATGAAAGGATTGGTTGTAGATTTGGGAGAGCTTGCTGTACGGTTTCAATATTCACCAAGATCTAATTGTGTTGGGCTAGCCATAAGTTGTTGCGCTGTCGCTGTTGAAGTAATTCCTCAATGAATTCTCTTTTAAGCATAGCAGTCTTCCAAGTGTGGGAACATCCATCTATGGTGATAGCCTTACATGTCAAGATACTTACCTATTGAGCCTCCGACAGATTGGTGAGATCACTCGCATTCATAACTGCTGTGACCTGAGAAGTGGAGAGGACAACAAAAGCTAAAAGCAATGGCTCACCTGATCTACTGAGACTTGTTGCTGCTGCTGCTGCTTGTGTAAGCCGCCGACAGGAACACTGGTTTTTTTCCTTACAAGAACAATTGCAACTGTGTGGACAGGTGTGTTTCAAAACCTATCTTGTATAGCTTTTTATTTTTGGATTCTCTCATTGGCAGCTCTAGATCAACCTTATTTGTCTCTTTGTACTTCCTTTGTATTGCTTCGAGAAATTGTTTGATCATCTTGAACCTAGTCCAAGAACATCTGAAAAGAAATTTTGGAATTAGGCGTGCACACCGCGCCAATGGGGTCTCATTATTTCCTTAGCAGAACCTCGAATCATGTGCTACCTTTTGAGCAGGCACAGAGAAGCATCATCTTAGTTGGGTCACAGAGCTACACTACACGAAAAGGAACAGCCGAAACTATATATACATAAGCGCAGGGGGCGTTGTCAAATGCCAATAACTCCTCGCGTTGCCTGGCCCACCAACCGGATTACATTACAAAAATGGTAAAGCTAAGCTCTTCCTTGATGCCCAAGCGGATGGCCCTTCACTCTGACAACACCTTTGTGATATGGTACCAGCAGTCACAGCAGCACAAGGAAGAGGGAGGGAGTCTGCGGGACTCGTCATTACAGCCTTTTCCCCGGGCACCACCCCAGCCGCACAGCTCACTCCAGCCGAAAGCACGCCATGGCAGAGGGAAGAAGAGGCACAAGCACAAACACAAGGAGAAGGAGAAGCAGTCGGGCGGCACCGGCACGGAGCAGGCGGCGCACTTCAAGCCGTGCGCCGACGTGAAGGGCATCCGGTTCGGGGGCCAGTTCATCGTGAAGTCGTTCACGGTGCGGCGGGCGTCGCCTCTGGAGCTGCTCCGGCTGCTGGACATCCCGCCGTCTTACCTGAGCGAGTGCCAGAGCCTGCCGTTCCCGTCCATCACCACCTACATGCCCACCAGCTTCACCATCCTGGCGCACCAGGCGTGGCACACGCTGACGCTAGGCCTGGGCACCAAGAAGTCCAAGGTGGTGCTCTTCGTGTTCGAGTCCGAGAGCATGAAGGCGGCCGTGGACCAGCTGTGGCCCGCCATGATCCCGCTCGGGGACGTGAACAAGAAGCTCATCCGTGGGCTCACGGGCAGCGAGATGGCGCGGTTCAAGTTCCGGAAGGGCTGCCTCACCATCTACGTCTACGCCGTGCGGCGGCTCGGCGCGGCCGGGTTCATGCGCACCGATGACCTCAGGCGGATACTGCAGTCGGTCGTGGAGCTCAAGGACTTCCTCGACCACACCGCCATGCTCGCCATCCCGAGCCAGAAGAGCATCACTCTGCAATCCCGGACAGCGGTGGCTCATTGAGATCACAGGGCATCTCCTTCCTCTGATCTGACGACGGCACAAGAGTCTCGATCGGTTCAGCATCGCAGAACAGGTACGGTCAGCTTGTAGTTGTAATCTTCAGAGGGCCTCAAATTTTTTTTAATCTCCCAGTTCGATTCGTTTGTTCAGTGTCGGTGCAAGTGTTCACATCCTCTGCTGGGAGCAGCTTAGATCTGTTGAGCAAAAAGTGTTTTAGCAAATCAAGCATAGGTTTTTTTTTTCTTTCTTTTGTCCCAAAGGCAATTTTCCTTGAATGGATCTTACTTGCATGTTGGTATACTGGATCCATCAATGAAGCCATCTGTTCTAGTGGCACTTTCTGGACATACTGGGCAGCACTTGCTGCTGACTGCTGTAGGTATAGCTACGGTACAGTACTGTGTTTGGGATTTTTTGCGCTCCTACTCCTACCGTGCCTTTCCTCTCTAGTACACTCATTGTTCCACAGCATTGTGAACTCCTTTCGTTTTTGGAATTTGGTACTAGAATTGCACCCAATTGCGTACTCTATTGCACAGCTGGTTTCTCAGGGTTACTGTTGCTTGTTAGGATTGCCAAATGGAGCTGTCAGTGTTCACTTCGGAAAAGAAAATGGAGCTGCCAGAGGAGGAAGGTGAATCCTACAGGATCTCAGAGAAAGTGAATGCTATTAGCTCTCTCTTGTGAGGAGCTCTTATCTTTTTGTGTGGAAGTAGCCATCATGTAATGTAACTGGTAGAAAGAGATGTATATATGCTATCTTTTGACCTGTTGGAGGGGGTGACACCAATCTTTTCGAGCATTTTTTTGCTCCATGCTCCCCTGCGGCTGAAAATTTTGACCGAGAGCCCAGAGAGAAATAGGCCCGGCCCCGGCGGGACAGATGCTGCGGGTGCTGCCGCCATGATCATGGGGGAGGTAAAGTTAGTTGGGCAGGACACTCGATTCAGTGACGTGCATGATGAGTGGTTGAGCGGCATGGCATGGCATGGGGCCACCCACTACGCCCGCCCCTAAATCATGAGCAACAAAGGACGGTGCGAAAGGACGGTGCAGTCCCTACTGCAACCTGCTTCTCGGATCATCGCTTTTTGGTAGTCCTTGACTCCTTTGGATCCCCCTTTGGTGTTAATGAAGCACCAAGATTGTACTGCTAAATCAATAAATCATTGCTTACCGCAGCTTGCACCCAAGCTTATCGAAGCTGAAGTGTAGCCAAATAACAGGATTCCGCACCGTTTCTACTCAATCCGTGTGGAAAAAGAACTGAATCATACCAAACAGGACCTGGACCTGGAAGCGTTTATGTACATGCTGAAGTCGTTGTACCAGTCTTGGGTACGAAGAGATTATACTAATGAATGTGTCCTTATCTAAACATCTGAGATGGATCGAGATCATAGTCCTCCAGCGACCGACGCAGCGAAACATCTCAGCATGACAGCGTCGCAATTTGGCAGCTCGTGTATAATTGTAGCCGAGCGGTAGCTAGCAGCTGGCTGATGGGGTGCGTTGGCACTTGGCAGCGTTGCGAGGTTTGGTATTTGCCGAGCCATCCCTCCCCGTCCCCGGCATGCCCAGCTAATTTCTGGCGCACCGGGTTTACGCCGAAAAAGCCGAGCGAGGGGGGACACCGGACACACCAACCTGATTGACTCCCGGTCCGGGCCGCATGCTCTCGATCATCGTCTTCCAAACCGTGGCGATGCATGGGAGAGCTTCAATTCAATCATGCCGCCGGGGTCCCGCCGGGCGCGAGCCGACCGGGCAGGGAAAGCAGATCGAGACGTATTTATGCGCTCATGTGGCGGTGCATGGGCAACCGCCTGCCTTGGCTGGCTGGCGCGTCGCGAGCCCGGAGCCCATGGCTGGTGGCTGGCACACTGGCACTGGCGCGCGCATGTTCTGGTGCTGGCGCTGGGGGCTAGGGGCTGGGGCTGGTCCTTCGGCTTTCGCAGGCGCCCTTCCAATCGCGGAAGACTTTTCTGCCAGTCTCCTTGTTCTCGTGCTGTTTCGGGGGTTGACAACGAGCTCTGGTACGGTTGGTCTCAAGGCCTGGAGCGGGGACGGACGGGTGCCAAAAAAAAAAAACAGTCATAGCAACGCTGGCTGCAGCGGTCCGATCCTGTGGCGCAACGTGGGATTGCCATGCCGTGCATCATCTCGGCTGGGGTGTGTGTGACTGTGTGAGCACCAGACTGGGACAGCGTGCACATGTCACTGTACCAGCCTGGCATCGCAAGCCAATGCCGCAATGCCCAATGGGTTCGCGAGTCGGGACTTCATGAGGGCGATGGTGGAGTCCTGGTCTCCTGGAGAGTGGAGACACTGCACAAGGTGATCATGAGGATTGAGGGCTTCTTTTGTTCGAGATAACTCTGAGCATAATATTTTGCCCCTTAAACTTGTTTATTTGCTTTGTACATTCACGCTTTATTATCAACAACTTTGGACTCCCTCCTTCGCTTTCACCTTTTGGTTTTCATTTATATGATGATAATATGATGAGAACTTTGATTGAAATTCCTGGGCAAAGCTGATTGGCCCTACCATACTAGTGAAGTCGATGTGGAAGATTAAAGTTGGTGCGTACGGCGTACCAACATCGCCTAGCTGATATTAAAAACTCTCTGAAGCCAGTGCAAAGTGGGCTGCCCTAGGTCACAACAAAAAAGCACGCCATATTGGGCGTGGTTGGCCCAGCCTGTGAACCGAGCTTAGCTACTTTTCAGGCAGCGGCCCAGGTCGAATGCATCACAAGGCACAACGACGGTTGGACAGAGGCAGCTTGGTTTTGGTAAGTGGGCAGCTGGGCCTCGGCGCAAACAAGCCCTAAGTGTTATTTGGTACAACTCCACTTTCTGATTTTCGAACTTTACATTTAATTAATTCTCTGATGGAGTGATTTGGTGAAAGAGTAAGATAAGGAGTAGCTGAGAAGTGATTCTGGAGTGATTTTGTGGTGACTGAATGAGGAGCACTGGAGAATGTTTTTTTTAGCTCTTAGCTAGTCGTGTAAATAGAGAAGTGATTTTTCTAAGCTCTCACCAGAATTCGGTTGCATTTTAACCGTTTGGTTGAACTCCATGGAATCTACTCGAAGAAGCTAGGAGGAGAATTTTACCAAAGAGATCCTAAATGCATCATGACTCCAAGCTTTTTTCACATTCTCATCTATATTCATGAACTTTCAAAGTGGTATTATCTTGATCCTTTAACTCTAAGCGGTTCACTGTAAGTTCACTGTAAGTAGTTGCAACTGCTTTCCACTAGGTGTTTACTGTTTTCAATAGGTTGCAATTGGTTCCAGCTGATTTCAACTGATTTTGACTCAATTTCAGCTAGTTGCAATTTCTTTAAAGTTTAAATGGATTTTAATCTAGTTCCAATTAGTTACCACTGCTTGCAATAAGTTTCAATTAGTTCAAACTAGTTGCTGCTTGTGGCTGATTTATGAGCCTTTTCCCTGTGTGCCATTATAAAAGATGTTCCATTCCTACATGCCATCAAAAAGTTCACACGGACCCTGGTGCCATGACGCTAAACTCTTTTGTCCAACACGCCATTCCGTCCAGTTTTGCTCCTAACGGTGGGTAACGGCGTAGCCAAATGACAGATACCCTTAGGCTTGAGAGGCTCTGTGAACTAGTTGGTTTGCTTATGTGCCATTCCCAGGCCAGCCCCAGACCGAGCGTTTTGGCGCCAAAGCCAGGGTTGTTGGCGCCAACTGAGCCCCTGGGCTTCTCCTCCTATATATAGGTCCTCAGCCCTATCTGTTGCCACTCATCCAACTTGAGCCCTATCAGGGATGTATGTATGTATGGATGAACGAATGAATCAATGTTGAATGATGAATATTAAAATTGTTCATTTGTCCAGAATGCAACAACATATGAGAACAATATAACAACAATTAGAGTATTGCAACAGTAAACAAACATTCATCACATAACAGCAGCTACCTTATTGTTTTTCATCACAAAGGTTTCATGGCACCAACATGTCACCAACATTCATCACATAGCAGCTAAGTTATTGGTTTTCATTTACAGGTAAGTACTGTCATACCATCACAGAACATTCATTACAGAGCAAAAGAACAGTCGTGCCATCACATAGCAGGTGTTTTTCCAGAACCACATCACCAAAAGAACATTGAGCAGGCACCTTTCACTACAATTGGAGCTTCTTTTTGCTTCTGGTATTTGAAGTAGGGTTGGCTGCTGCAACTTGGAGCTTCTTTGCTGTAAGCTTCTTCTTGATCCCTATCTTCCTCCTTAGTGAAGCTTGGGGCATCACAGTCTCCAGTGGCTCTATCTCTATTGTAATAGAGTCTTCATGGAAAGGGGCCAGGTGCATAGTTTGGATTAAAACTGGGTCATTGGAACTAGTTCCAGACCTTATGACAAAAAGGCAGAGTGTGCTTTAGCATTAGCAGTCATAATAGAAGTGTTGTGATTAATTAAAGAGCTGGTAAACATACCTGTTAGACACACTGTTTGGACCTGAGCTTGAAGTAGTAGTGGTAGCCGCCCCCTTGCTCTTCTTGGCACCAGAAGAAGAAGAAGAAGACTGTCTCATTGTGTGGGAACACCATCTGGGATAGAGTAGCAACCACAATGCTAGTCTCTGTGTTACAACTTGCTGCTTTTTTCAGCCTTTTCTTTGGAAGACCCCTGCATAGGAAAAGTTACATTAGTTAACTAAATTATTGAAGTTGTACATGTATCTGCAAAGTAATTTAGTTACATAGTTTACCTTTCAGCCTCCATTGTAGTTATATCTTCTGGATTCCCATTCTTGTAAGTGTACCGGTGATGCCCTAACTCATGGCAGATGGGGCACTCATGTTTCTTTGCCCTCTTCTTGCTGCTGCCTCCCTCAAGTGATGATTTCATCCTATTCTTTTCTTCTAGCTCCTGTGGACCTAAGACAGGGAGGGTGCATGAAAAAGCCATGAGTAGCTTTGGGCCACATACTTTTGTCAGGAATACAAGGGATACAACCCTCATATGCAGCTCTGAATTTGTTGATAGAGAAGTAGTCATCCACATGATCTTCTAGTTTTTCACCAGGAATTGAAGTAATGTAGGCTATTTGTATGACTGCATGGAATTCCTGACCCCTGCCAAACCCTATAGGAACATGTTCTGTCAGGTAGGCTGACCACAAACCTGAAGCCACTACCTCCCTTAGCACATAGTTCTGCCACACCATTAGGGGAGGCTGTGATCACTTCAATGTCTAGGTTGTAACTGTCTTCCCTTAGCTTCTGCAGGATGTGAGGCAGAATCTTTCCTTTCAACTTCTTGGCTACCTTCTTCCTTTGGTTTCATTTGATCAAAATCTTTTGTCTTATAGTGTCCAGCAAGTCATCCAGGTGCTTTACCTTCTCAGGCTTGATCCAATTATTGAACGACTCAGCCAAATTATTAGTCACATGATCAACCTTTGACAATGTCCTGTACTGGCTCCTGATCCAAAGTTTATTGTGAGTTTCTTGCAGATACTTCATTGCCTCATGTTTGGCTGCAGCCATTGCTTGATAGTGCTTCTCAAACATGTAAGGGCTCCATGAATATGAAGAAGCCCACAAGTGATCATCAAATACCTTCCCACTGTACCTCTTTTTAAAATTCTGTACTAAGTGATACATACACTCTCTATGTTCAGCATTTGGAAAAGCTTTACTAACCCCATTTATGACTGCCTGGCCACAATCTGTGTAGAATGTCAAGCCCTCTAGGGTGCCTATTGCTTTCTTCAACCTCTCCATGAACCACACCTAATTCTCATTGGTTTCTGAGTCAATTACACCAACAGCTACTGAATACATCTAGTTGTGCCCATCTACTGCACAAGCAATGCACAACAGTCCCATAAACCTTCCTATTAAAAATGTACTATCTACTGCAAGATATGGTCTACAGCCTCTAAGAAATCCATCAACACATGGTTTCAGTGCAAAGAATAACCTATTGAACCTGATCTTATTGTTGATGGTGTGATTATCAATGATAAGAAATGATCTAGGACTTGATTCTTCTAACTGGGCCTTAAGCCTATACAGATTATCAAAACTTTTGTCCCAAGGCCAATAAATCTTATCCATGGCAAGATTTTCACCTTTATACACTCTCTTATAGGGCACCATAATTTTGTGTGTATCCTTCAACCTCCTTTGCAGTTCTGTTGCACCTAGAGTTCCATCTTTCTTCAGCCAATCAATCACCTGACTACACACCCAGAACTGTGTTACCCCTACACAGCTTCCTTGCCTCCTAGTGCTCTGGCACTCATGAGGGTAGGGGTTCCTTTTTACCTACGAAACAGTCAAGTAATGCACTTATTACAAGCCACACAATGCAAGAAAAACAGGGAGCAGTCAATGAAAACAATGTACTAACACATTACCTTAATAGTGTGCCCATCCCTTAGAGTTGAGGCATGAAGTCTCCACCTGTAGCCCTCACTTTGCTGTGAGCAGTTCACCCTATATCTCCCTGTATCACTCTTCTCAATGTCATAGTTGAACTCATGTTTAACAGCATGAGTAGCTAAAGCAATCTTAAAAGCATCCATGTCTGAATACACTGTTCCTACTGACATAGGAGGGTCTTTCTTGTCATAATCAACATTAGGCATATGTTCAGGCTCCCTATCTTTAACCATATCATCTATGCCTTCTACTTCATCATCAGAGGATTCATCATCAGAGTCTGTCTCAGAGGATTCATCAGCACCAGAACTCTCACCTTCCCATTCTTTACTCCCACCTTGGCTCTGAGGATTGGGAGGAGGTGAGGGGTACTGGGGACTAAGGTCAATATACAACCCTTCCTCATCAACACCCACATGCTCATTCATTGGGTTTGGGTTAGCCATGTATTCAGGTTCAGCAGATTGAGTGTGTGTGGCATGGATTGGTTCTGCTAAGCTTAGACAAGCAATTGAAGGGGTGAATGGGGGGTTCAATAGAGTTCACAGTGCTACCAGAATCCCAATCAGGAATCACAGGGGGCTCACTACTTAGGCTATGATATGCAACAGTCAACAAGCAGCATTTGGAAGCCTTATGTTTTGCCAACATTTCAACCAAATCTTAGTCAGTGCAGACTTGGATCTTCACTTTACTATCCATGCAGAAATAAAACAATCTCACTATATCACCATAGTTATGAGGATACTTGTCGATAACTTCAGCAACCAGGTGTGTAAAGTTAGTGCGGTCAGCATCCACGACTTTGTTCAACGAAAAACACTGCGCACGAGAATTGGGAGCAACAATCCGGATTTCTAAGTTGTAGCTACTTTCTGCGTCCATCCTACAGATGAACAAGTAGCGTGCAATCAACACTACAAACACGCGGCACAAACATAGGGCACTAAATACCAATCAACACTACAAACACGGGGCACCACGAAACCAAGGGGGGAAGCAGTGAACTCACTCGTCCGGAAGCCAATCCGTTCGCTCGCCCACGCCCTTGTTCCCCGCCATGCCACGCCTATCCTCTGGATCCACGGTCGAATCCACGCTCCACTACCCCATGCGCCGCCACAAGCACGGGGGATTCGTCGTCTTCTCTCCCAGCCGCCGCTACAACCTTTGCCGCCGCTAGGGTTTCTCCGCCGCTAGGGTTAGGGAACTGAGGGAGTCAAGTGAGAAGAGAGAGTGAGAGACTGAGGGAGACGCCGATCAATATCGATCAACATAGCCTCCACATATGTCCGTGACTGAAAGGGCAACATGGATATTTTCCCTGCCCGGTCCCACATGTAAGAGCTGACAAACGGTCAAAACCAAACAGAATGGAGACGGAATGGCGTGTTGGGCAAAAGAGTTTAGTGTCATGGCACCAGAATACGTGTGAACTTTTTAGTGACAGTAGGAATGAAGCAACTTTCGTAATAGCACACATGAAAAAAGCTCCTGATTTATTTTATACATAAGGCGCTAGAGTTGTTGAAAAAAAAAACAGGACTGTGAATAGTACCGGGCTCTACGAACGGCGGCAGAACTCGACGTGGCTGCCCTGCCGTGTTCAAAATTCGAACTTCCTCACAGAATCCACCTCACACCACCTGACCGCTTGCCGTGTTCAAAATTCGAACCTCCTCCTCCGCCCCAACGGTACCATCTGGATCCGCCCCACGCGGCACGCACCCGCTCGGCCACTCCTCGTCTTGTTGCCACTACCAAGCCCAGAATCCGAATACCCTCTTGCTTCGCCCCTCTCCCCCGGCGGCCGGCGCTGACCGCGTGATCCTCGCTCCGATGGCGGGCACCTCCACACCCGCCCGTTCCTCCACGCGCTCTTCGCTGCCGGTGCGCGTCGTGCTGCGCGTGCGCCCGTTCCTCCCGTCGGAGGCCGCCTCGGCGACAGCGCCCTGCGTCTCCCTCCTCGACTACCACCCCGGCGGTGAGGTCACCGTCCAGCTCAAGGACCAGCACACCAGGTACGCCTAAACGCCTCCTCAGCGCACGATCTGGAGCCCTCGGACTTGTTCCTGCGCTAATTGCGGATCATCACGATTGGTACCTCCATTTAACCTACCAGGAATTGGTGAAGTGCTTGCATGGAAAATTTATTCTCCTAGCTAATTTGTTCGTTTGATCCCAAAACCAAAGGGATTGGAGGGGTTTGAGGGGGGGCGGGCGGTGACTTGTAGGGGATTTAATCCCCTCGATCCCCTCCAATCCCCTTGGTTTTGGGATCAAACGAACAGTCTCAGCACGCAATCTCATTTGCTTTCATTCTCCCATGTTTGATTGCGTTTCCTTATTTGCTTTGGTGTACTGGTCCATTTATGCAGTCGGAGTGAACTGTATAAAGTGGATTCGTTCTTCGGTCAAGAGGACAGCGTGAGCCAGATATTTGACCAGGAGGTTCGCGCAGTGATCCCAGGCATCTTCGAGGGGATCAACGCGACGGTGTTTGCCTATGGGGCAACCGGCAGCGGCAAGACCTACACAATGCAGGTGCCCACTATTATCATCACTGCAATGTGTTTGACTAAATGCCACTTTTGGCAAAACAATATTTCACTGAACCTATCTGAGTGGCTGCTGAACAGGGCACGGAGGATTTTCCGGGGCTAATCCCCTTGGCTGCTTCAACAATCCTAGCAAACTGCACTGGCACATGGTGCTCTGTTGAGATGTCGTACTATGAGGTGTACTTGGAACGGTGCTATGACCTGCTGGAGCCTAAAGCAAAAGAAATCATGGCCTTGGATGACAAAGATGGTAACATGCAGCTGAAGGGCTTGAGCTGGGTAATGTGATGCTGCTTGGTGATTACTGAATGTGTTTGTTGGAATTCAATCGGTTGCTTACTGTTGCCCTTTGATGTTTGAAGGTCCCTGTGAGATCCATGGAGGAATTCGAGGAGCTCTATTCCATAGGCGTGCAAAGGAGAAATGTCGCCCACACTGGACTGAATGATGTTTCCAGTCGGAGCCACGCTGTGCTCTCACTTAGGGTCAGCACTGATGTTGTCAAAGGGAAACTTAACCTCATTGATTTGGCTGGTACATCTCTTTGGAAGTCTGGATTGAGGCACACATGCTTAAGCTGTATCCCTGTACTTGAACTCATGTTGTGCTTGATTGTTGTTTATAGGTAGCGAAGACAACAGGAGGACTTTGAATGAGGGCATCCACCTTCAAGAAAGCTCCAAGATCAACCTTTCATTGTTTACATTGTCCAATGTATTTTCAGCTCTAAACAAGAATGAGCACCGAATTCCCTACAGAGAGAGTAAACTGACCCGCATACTTCAAGATTCTCTAGGAGGCAGTAGCCGTGCTGTGATGATAGCTTGCCTGGTGACTTTTCTCAATCTTTTTTCTTATGGATGTCTCATAACGTAGAACTTGGCTAATTGTTTTTTGTTGTTTCAGAATCCTGCAGAATACCAGGAGTCAGCCAAGACAGTAAGTCTGGCTGCTCGTCCATGCCATACTGAGACTTTCACCAGTTCAAGCAAGCAAGAAACTCCCAAGGTCAAGGTTGACATGGAAGCCAAATTACGAGCATGGTTGGAGTCAAAGGGGAAAACAAAGAGCATCCAAAGAATGGATGGTCTTCTCTCCCCAGTTGCCAGCAAGACTCCATTGTCTATGAGCCATATGAGGCAACCAACATCTTCCAGAATTTCTTGTAGAGCTAAGGCAATGGATCAGGATGGTGGTAAACTCAAGAAGTTAGTATTTTTTATCATTTCCTCTTTATATATTACATGGAACCATACATAGTTCTTATTTCTTTGTCTTCTCCTGCACAGGATGCTTTTTGATCCAAAAGTCCATGTTCCCACTGAAAATATACCACGAGAGCAAAGGCAGACAGAAGTAAAAACACCAAAGAAAGGTACTTTAGAAAACTTCAGGAGTATTATATCAACCTCTGAGATTTTTTACCTGTGCTTTCATGTGTGAATCTGATGTCTAAAGGCCTCGAGATTTTTTACCTGTGTTTCCACGTGTGAATCTGATGTCTAAAGTCTTATGCAGTGGTGCTTCCTTCAGTTACTCAATGCCATGAAAAACATGAAGCTTCTATCAGGAAAGCTCTTTCTCCAATTTCTTCAAACATGGTGCCTGTGAAGCAGCAAATATCTGATAATGGCAATTGCCCCATTTTATTGGAGCCCCAAACTCCAATAGAAACACATAACATAGCCAAGGAGACTCCTGGTGCAACCCCACTAGAGAGACTTAATGCGCTACAGTCTAACTTAAAGGTTTGTACGGTTCCCCTTCTCATTCTATAGACAAGATATTTGCTACTTTAAGATTCATCAATTGACATTATGACTTTTTAGGAAGCTCTTGTTCAGCAGTACCTTGAAGTTTTAAATGTTGCAGACAAGTAAGTCCAAATTCTACAACCTTTTTTGTTGGCACCCCAGTTCCAGATTTTTATTGAACTTAGCTTTATTTGATTGATGCGTAAAATGGCTGATGCTGTACGTATTTGCTGAAAAGTGGCTAAAATAGCACATGGGAAGCAAAAATGCAATGGATCTAAATTGCATAAACCCCCTGGATCTAAAAAAGGCACTTTGATCACTCAACTTTTAGGCTAATCTTTCTTCTCTAGTATCTTGTATGCCTATGGTGTAGCTTCACCATGACAAAAAACATGGACATGTCAGTTATGGTTTGTGAACATCACAAATTAACTAAGAGCTTGTTTGGATACCCATGTATCCATCTCAATCCATGTGTTGTTGGAGTGGTTTGGTGTGGAATTTAAACTAAATTCCATAAAATTCCACACCAACCCACTTCAACACACATGGTTTGAGATGGATACATGAGTATCCAAATAAGGCCTAAGGATCATTTACAAACATGACCTGACATTTTGGGTGGGGGTGCGAATGCAGTTTCGTAGTTTTTAGTTCAAGTAATTTGCTCCCTAGGTGTCAGTTCAAATGAGAGGACAAGCTACATTTCTTCACATTATGAAACTTCAGCAGGAATCCTGCCATTCTTCATTGTTATTATGTTATAGTCTGTAAAACTCTGACTATTGGCTTGTCAGTATAGCAGAATGCATGAACTTTTTGTTCTTAGGTTGACCTTATGTCACAAAAAATATCCAGTTTTTTGCAGTCTTTCTTTCTAATGTTTCTCTCCCTTACCTATGACTGCAGGGAGGAGCTACAGCAGCTGAAAGTATGATCCTTTCATCTTAATAACATTTCGATCACTGTTGTTCCAGCCTTTTCTTCTGAGTAACTTTCCCCTCTTGTTTGCTAGGGAATTGGCCTGAAGAGAGCAGAATATATTCTGGAATTACGGGAGGACTCACCAAGACCGTTCAAAACTGTAAGATTTTTGTAGAATGTGAAATGATCCAGATCTTTTTTCCAAAAGAAAAAAAGGAAAATGAATCCAAACGTCTGAAATGGCCTTCTAATACAATTTGCTTGTCCAGCTTGCAGATTTGGAACACATCGGCCTCTCGTCAAAGCAGGTAATTTTTGTGTCATCTGTTAAGGCGAAAGGCATGCATCTCTGGCGAAAGTTATATACCGCTTGTAATTCCATTGGCTTTCTTGTTCGTTTTGCTTGTAGATCCAAGACATCCAAAAGAAGATGGCGGCCACTGGGATCTTCAAATGATGACCTAAATGGATGCTGTATGTGGATGGAGAAGTTAGTTCAATCTTTCTGTTGGTGACTTCAGGCAGTGTCCTGCTGCTGCTTTCAACTAGATTTCCTTTAAGCGTGTGTGTAGAATTGCAGTTGAAGTGTTGAACAACTAAACTGTCGGAGTTGTGCTGCTACTTTTACGTCCAGCAGAGTTTTTATGAAACGAGCTATTCGAACATTTTATATGATGAAGTACAGTCTTTTGCTCATTTGATAATGATAACATGTTTCGCAGGCTGAGTTTTGATAACGATAACATGTTCTGCAGGCAGAGTTTTTTTTATGAACTTTCGAGCATTTTATATGATAGAAGTATTTTTTTTAGAGGATTTTATATGATGAAGTAGAGCATCACTGTTGCTCATTTGATAATAATAACATGTTTCGCAGGCACCCAGCTGACAATTGAAAGTCCCTATCTATATTTATAATATAATAATAATGCAAAAATGGAAAGAACAAAAATGAAAAACATTCGCCCACCGTGGGGCTCGAACCCACGACCACAAGGTTAAGAGCCTTGCGCTCTACCGACTGAGCTAGACGGGCTTCACATGTTTATTTAAGTTTCATGCTCTTTCATTTTGTTTCCCTGCACCGAACGGTTCCACTATCAAAAGCAACGTAGAAAAGGGCAGACATGTTGCATTGTAGTACCGCTTTTTTTTTCAGTTTGATGCTCTTTCACTTTGCTTCCCTGCACCAAACGGTTCCACCATCGAAAGGAACGTAGAAACGGGCAGACATGTTGCATTGTGGTACCACTTTGGGTACAATCGTTTAGCACACGAACCAGCGATGAAACTTTGCCGTTTATGCAGGGAGACAGCTTGAGGCATGGAGAAAACATCAATCCTTTTCTTCGGCCTACTGCCAAGGGCCAATAGTCCCTTGGATGTGACGCCATTTAAGCATAGACTATCATCCATAGATCTAGATGCTAAACTTCTAAAGTAGCCAAGGTACATGGAGTATATACTAAAACACAGACCACTTGAAGTTCATTTGAACCTTCTTTATTTTCTTGAAGCGCAAAAATTCCATTAAACCATTGTGCAATGTGCCCCATGATGATGTTGACATGCCTTTGTTATTTTCACTAGCTTGCTACTGCGGTCTGATGAAGAGTACAAAAGAGGCGTCGGCGCATAGCACGCCGTAATTCACGTACTCCTGCTACTTCCGTTTGACTCCTGTGGCCAACGATCGTTGTCTTCATCGTCCGCGTCGAAACGGCAGAAACCCAAGCGCTTTTCGAAAGCCCGAAAAAACCAGACGATCCCGACTCGACTCGAACTATCGTACCGGTGCCCGGCCGCGCAACTGCGACCGCGATCGCGAGTCGACGCCACCTCGCCACGCCGCGCTCGGTCGGTCACGCGCAGCGCACTCGCCCCGCTGGTTCGCCTGCACACGCGCCACCTCGTCCTCCTCGCCCGCCCCGCCCCCCTCTCGTCTCGCCCCCATTGCGCGGCGCGGGCGGCAGCGATCGCGCGCGGGGGAGGCCTAGACCTAGCTTCGGAGGGGCGGCACCGACCCAATGCAGGGGCATGCGTACAGCCGCCTGGGAAGCTTCGGCTCCGCGGCGAGCGCGCCGTCCCCGCCGCTGCCACCGTCGCCGTCGTCCCCGGTGCCGGCTGGGGCCGGTGCTGGCGGGGGCAGCCGGACGCCCGCGAAGGCGGGTTCGGCGAGGGGCATCCCGGGGGCCGCGGCCTCGGCAACGGCGGTGGCGCGGGCGGGGGTCGCCCACCGTGGCGGCGCGGCGCGGAGGCTGGCCAGGGCGGTGCTCGCGACGCTGCTGCGGAGGCAGGCGGTGTTCCTCTTCGCGCCGCTGCTGTACGTCGCCGCGATGCTGCTGTACATGGGCTCGCTCCCGCTCGACGCCGTGCCGCGGATAATCGCGCGCCAGCCGCCCGGGTCGGTGTACCGCAGCCCGCAACTGTACGCGCGGCTCCGCGCCGACATGGACGCCGACAACTCCACCGGCGCGGTTAGTGTGTGTCTCCCTCCTCCTTGCACGTTTGTTGCAGCATTTTGATTTTGTTTGCGGGGCTTGCAATGTGGCGCAAATGTTTGGCCGTATTGATCACAGAATGGTTGAAGCATGATCGAGCTTATGCATAATAAGCAGCGTAATGCTTTTGCATATGGTGGTCGAGCTGAGATGGTGTAACATGCTCTTTAGATTATTTTAAGTGGTGTTGATCAATCCGAACTGGCACCTGGTCGTCTTCTAATAGTGAGGAAATGGGTGACAATGGACATGTGCTTGAACCGTGGGTTTTATATTGTTATTTACTTGTTCATGTGATCGCTTTGTGTCATGGGATGATATGAACGACCATTTTGTCACATCTTCTGAAACTTGGTTCAGGTTGGCAGTCATGTTAGAATGTTATTGGTCCTTGTTACATTGCAAGATCACTGGTTGGTTTAGTCAAATTGTCTCATCCAAATTAGTATGTGCTATCCTGCCCTTTGCTCTTAATAAATACAAAAAGTGTGGTTTCTTTATTCATTATTACACCATGCTCTCATAAGTGATGTTCGTTTTGCTTGCCCTTATTGTCATGGAGAATATTTATTAAAAAAAAAATCCAGTTGCACTCATGATCAAGAAGCTCCAGTTGCACTCGCACCACAACAAGCAAACCTCGCCTGCATTTCTGGTTTTTAAGTGTTCTGCATCTCGTTTGCTGTCATCTTCACTGTCTTTTATTCGTGTATCACTTATAACATCCTTTTATTATGTCCTCAAATGAAACAATGTAACCGTGGTTTGACAGACAAAACAAATCAATTTCAAATTATCCGGTGCAAAATATGGGTGAATGGACAAAGAAACTGAATTCCAAATGAACCAAAGTAAAGTCTGGTTGAGTGGACCAAAGAAATAAATTTCGATATGCAATCTGCTGAAACCTGTTTATGCGCATGGGATACAGTGCATGAATGATGAAAAGATAAAAATATCAAATCCATCTGCAGATAGGCCTTTTCTTTTATTATGCCAAGTGGAATAAGAACATTGAGTGAGTATATATTTGCATCTATTTACATCTTTCATTACAAATATCCCACAGAATATATTAACTGGACGGCATCCAGCAATGAGGTAGAAAAAAGCCCTGTACTTCTGTTTCCATGTTTTGATGATTATAATTTTCTGCTTCTTATTTGTGTTAATTTTGCATGTATGCTTCTTCCTCTCACGTTGTCATATTTTTCTAGCTAGCAACTGTATGGAGGCACACTTACAAAGGTGGCACATGGCGGCCCTGCATAAAAAACGTGACAAATGGTATGCCACTTTCTTGCCGTTCTTCCGTTTGTTTGGCTCTTGACTAAATATTGTGCATCAGATGTGCAGATTTCGTGCACTTGTAATTTCTAATTCTTTTTGTTCCTTCTAACGTCTTGTTTTAGGGTACTTCTAATGTGTCTTTGATGCAATTCAGGTTATTTTGTTTCCTTTCTAATATGTAGATTGTAAAACCCCTGAACGCATTCATATTTGTGAATGGAAGACTTTTTTTCCTTGTATTTGATCATTACAGAAGTTAATTTAAATGGTCTTATGTTTTGATTTTAGCAAATGGCCTGTTGTTGCACATAGTTACGTTGTTATATAGAACTGCGAACAGGCAAACAAGAGTAAAGCTACTGGCCTACTGCTTATTATGCTCCACTGTAATGAGTTTATCATTTTTTTTGGAAAAGAGCATAACTCTGCTTTTAGAAAGCAATATCTTGGTTTCTGCAGGCGCGTATGTATTTTTTATTTTTGGGTGGTGTGGTGTGTGTTGTATTTGAGGTCTCTTCCCCCTTTTTTTCTTCTAAATATAATAAAGCACAGTTCTCCTACATTTTCGAGAAAAAATATCTGGTTACAGAACAGCTGGGATTGCCAGCTTGAACAAAGTGTAAAGGGGTGACAAGCCAAAGACCCTACTACAACAAAGCTAAATTTCAGAGATGTCATAATGAGTTTATCATACAACTACAACAAAGCTAAATTTCAGAGATGTCATAATGAGTTTATCATACAACTTACAAGCAGGCAGCAGCGCATATTGGGGCTATGATTCTCGGCATATGATTGACAAGTGTTTATGATTAACTGATCATCTTCCTGATATAAGAAAAGTTCTCTTCCTTCTATGATTTGTTTTTTTTTTACCAAGTTTACATTTGGAAGAGTCAGATGCGGTACCACCTCCAGTGCTTCTGTTATTAAACTCAAAGTGTAAAAATTATTCAAACTGTATTAATTTTGACCATGCGCAGTGGTAAAGCTGCTGCCTTGTGACCATGAGGTCACGGGTTCAAGTCCTGGAAACAGCCTCTTGCAGAAATGCAGGGAAAGGCTGCGTACAAAAGACCCAAGTGGTCGGATGTCATGTGCGGACGGACGTACGCAAGGCGCAGGCGCGCCCGCGACGTACGCCGCGCGGCTGAGCGCGCAGAGCGCGCGGTCCACCAGCCCGAAGGGGCAACTTCCAGTGGCTAGAAATCAGGGATTGGATTAGAGGCTGTTTTGGTTAGTCCTATAATTAGGGGAATTCCTTCCATAGTTGGTTGAGCCATTGGCTATTTATTCCTGTAAGCAGGGAAGAATGAATTAAGCAAGATTAATCTCCTATTCTCTTCTTCCTCCACGCCTCCTAAGCCCAGCCGGTTGAGAGGGGTATAACCTCCACCCTGGAAGACTCGGCCGAAGACTACGAGCTACGTAGTCGAGGGCCAGCTACCCAAACTACAGTGCCCTTGACATCGGACCCTTCCCCTGACCCTGCGCAAGCAGGAGCTACGTGCACTGGGGCTGCCCTTTGTATTAATTTTGACGCAAGATATTTTATAGGTTAGTTTGTTTGGACAAATGAAAATTTACCCTAATAGTATCCAATTTTAAAAATCTTTTCAGAATATACGAAAATTTAGAGGTTAATGAAAGTGTCAATATATCACTCTCGGAAGGCGGAAACATCATTTTTGTTTTGTGACTGGAATTAGTTCCGTTTAGAAAACTTGCATATTCCCCCTGATCTCTCTCTCTCTCTAATAATTTATTCCATAACTTCTGTTAGGTTTACCTGAATCAAATGGCTACATATACATTGAGGCAAATGGTGGTTTAAATCAACAAAGGACATCAGTAATCGCCTTACCTCAGTGTTTCTGACTACTCCTGATATTTTATATTTTTGTTAACTGCTATGTGGTATCTTGAGTTACTAACTCATGCCTCTATTTATTTTGTTTTTTTTTCCTGTTTTTTTTTCAGATCTGCAATGCAGTCGCCATTGCTGGTTTTCTGAATGCTACTCTTATCATCCCAAATTTCCATTTCCATAGCATTTGGAGGGATCCTAGGTGCATTCCCCACCTCTCAACTCAAATTTGTATTAAGTACTGGAACATACCATTAACCCCTGTAAGCTAAATGGATTTCCCCCCAGTTCATGATGTAAAACCATAATATGTCGTTTTCTTCTAGTATGCATGGTGATCTTGCTTGATGCAAATGTAAGATGTGGCCTTTCATTCTTGCAAACACTCCTGCAGTTTTAACATTTGAGTTTTTAAGTTCTCTAGAATGTTGAATTCACACTTTATATCTTGTTTGCATCATTATCACTCTAGAATATTGATGGAGTTCGTTTAAAAAAATAGAATATTAATGGAGCAAGATCATGTATTGAAGCTGTTCTGCAGGCTGTTGCGCTTGAGAGCAGTTTATGGTGTACTGCTGGGGCTTTAGCGCTCCAGGAAACCTGGAGCTGATCCTAAGGTCGCTCGCCATGGTCAATTAATCCTCTTATATAGCAGAGGTGCTGGTGGTGGTCGTTTGTAGTGTTTGGTGGCGCGTCTTTAGCTAATCCTTTGCTAGGCATGTGTGTGCTGGGTTGGGGAGAAGGCGTTCTGCCTATCTCACTTGTTTTATTCTCTTTTCTTCTTAATGAAATGGCATACAGCTCTCCTGCATAGTTCGAGATTTTTTTTTTAAACATGGTTTTGTATTACAGTATGATTTCAAGTAAGGCTGAGGGAGTTGTACTGCATAATGGACAAAATTATGTAGATCTGAAGTTAGTTGTGCACTATGTTGCTAGTTTTGTTGACTGCACTAGTTAACACACCATAAAGGTATTGGTTTTTATCCTTATTTGCATGTCATGTTGGGAAAACTTCGCTTCAGTGACTGAATTGCGGTTTCTTGTTATTATTGCTGAGAAATTTCTAAAAGGGTTATATCAATTAGTTCTAGGAGGAAAATAACAATTTTTTAACGGTTGGATTGCTTTACCTATTGTTGGGTGTTGTATACATTTGGCACTTGGTTCGATTGGATGGCTCTGCCTTTTGTTAAGTTGTTTCACTTTCTTCAGGTTCTTTGACAGTTCAGGTGGTTGTGTAAATATTGTCGATTGTTCCTGTGCACTGTGAGATTTAGCTTCGTGTTAGCTGATGCAAACGCCATCTGTCAGTATTATACTTTTCTGCTTGTAAATTGTATTAACATCAGACATTTCATTTTGGATACAGCAAATTCAGTGATATCTATGATAAAGATCACTTTGTACAACGTCTACAAAATGATGTTCGAGTAGTCGACAAAATTCCGGATTTTATAATGGAGCGGTTTGGTCATAATCTCAGCAATGTGTTCAATTTCAAGATAAAGGCTTGGGCACGCATTCAATATTACAAAGATGTTGTTTTTCCAAAATTAGTTGAAGAAAGGTGAGTTTAAATACAGTTCAGTTACTACTTGAATTTTCTGTTATCTTGGCACACAAAAAAAATCCCTTCACTGGCAACCCTAAAAATAGTGGCAGGGTGCAGACTTGTTGCACCTTTGGTTTGGGTAGTTGTAGTGGTTTGCAGCCCATTGGGTTTGGGTGTGACCCAGGTTACAATGCAGCCCCGTAGGGTGAAGCCGGGGTTCGGTAGTTTTATCGGTTGGTTTGACTTACGTTCTTTCTCGGAGTAAAAACCGCGGGGGGCGGTCTTCGCCATCAGTTGCTTACATTCCATATGATTTAACTGGAGTACTAATTCAAATGTTATAGCTTTATTAATTGGTAACACAACCTCTGTATCTGATTACAATCATTTACTGTAGAATAGAGAGCACTTCTAGTATGTTGGATATGAATTTGATATTAAACTTGACATGGGAATCTGTAAAAGCATATATATGATATATTTATAACCACTACAACCTTTTTATTGGACTTGCTATGATATTGATATATGTTAACGTAGGATATCCTATATTAAAAATCATTAGTGGTGTTTGGAGCATCTCTTCAACTTTATCCTCTTAAATTTATTCTAGAAGGATACTACCTTTTTATTCATGAAACTTATCTGCAGCAACCATTTCCGGACTCGATCAATTCTTTCATTCTTTGCCATCAAAAGTTTCTGTGACCTGTTGCTTGTGGAAGCTGACTTTCGAGGATTACTAAATTGTTGACACTCCCTTTAATGATGGAATTAGGTGTCAAATCATTTCCCTGTTTACAAGGGCACTACTATTTAGCTAGGAGTTTCTATTTTGTTAAGTATCATGAAGTGTTCAATTCAATTATAATGCATTTCTTTCTGATGCTATGCTCTTTAGTGCAGGTTCATCAGGATTTCTCCTTTTGCCAACCGACTCTCGTTTGATGCACCTTCTGCTGTTCAACGGTTGAGATGCTTGGCAAACTTTGAAGCCTTAAAATTCTCTAAACCAATTGTGTCTTTGTCTGAAACCTTAGTTTCTCGAATGAGAGAGAAAAGTGTTGCAGTGATGGAAAATATATCTCAGTGCATCTTCGTTTTGAGGAGGTTGGATCTCTTTCATGAAATTCAATGCTTATATGTTTGGGAACCAAGGATCCACCATTATGTATTTGAATCTTGTGCGTAATATACTGCCAGTGTTCTGAAGTAAGTGTGGCATCTGCTAATTGTCATCTTGCAGGATATGATTGCCTTCTCATGTTGTGTATATGATGGTGGTGATGAGGAGAAGAAGGAAATGGATGCAGCCAGAGAAATAGGTTGGAGAGGGAAATTTACTAAGAGAGGACGAGTAATAAGACCAGGAGTAATCAGAATGAATGGAAAATGTCCTCTTACACCTTTGGAGGTATGTCAGTACCTAATATCAGAAGGTAGAACAACTGCTGTTATTGACATTTCAGAAATTTGCTCTCAAGCACATTTTGCTGGTCCATGCTTTGTTCGTTTTCTTTTATTCAGTTTAAAACAAATTCATTTAGTATCAGGCAGAATTTGTCTTGAGAAGCTTATCTTGTGATGTTTAGGTTGGGTTAATGCTTCGTGGAATGGGTTTCAGCAATAAGACTGCAATCTTTTTGGCATCTGGAAAGATTTACAGAGCAGAGAAGAACATGGCTTCTCTTCTTGAAATGTTTCCTCTCCTACAGACAAAAGAGACACTGGCGTCAGAAGAGGAACTTGCTCCATTCAAGGTAGGAACTGCAGGGTTAGCTACATTTTTTTTGTTCTGTACTTTCCATACGTTGACTGTTCTGAAACGACTCATTATTGCCAGAATTTCTCCTCAAGGATGGCTGCTGTTGACTATAGTGTTTGTGCCCAAAGTGAAGTTTTTGTGACCACACAAGGTGGAAATTTCCCGCATTTCCTTATGGGTCACAGGAGATACTTGTATGGTGGGCATTCAAAAACAATTAAACCAGACAAAAGAAGGCTTGCCTTACTCTTTGATAATCCACGTATAGGGTATGATAACACTATTTGCCCATAGTGTTGTTTTGGTTTATCTTGAGTTCTAAGCACTTTACCATCTTGTTTGTTAAAACCATAATTTTCATTTATGTGCAGGTGGAAGGCATTGAAGCGGCACTTGCTTAATATGAGAGCACACAGCGATGCCAAGGGGATTGAAATGAAAAGACCAAACGAATCTATATATACCTTTCCATGTCCTGACTGCATGTGCCGCTTGAATAGAACAGAACACTCGAAATCCAAACACAGTAGATAGTATCTCGTAGTTGCATTTCCTGACTAACCCTATTCTTTCTGACATCCAGTTTAGTTTGTTCATTCTTCATTTGCTGTGCGGCTTTTCATTACTTCATCTGCAAGCATACTTGCCAGTTGCCACAGCATTGAAGGCAATCTATTCTCCCTATGTAGCTGTTTTTCCTTGTATAGCATATGCCAGCATGGAAACCCCAGATTCCTCCGTGGAGTATATTAGACTAATTGTGATGCTAACTATATATCAACTGACTATAATCCTCAGCAACAGATCTGACTCCAGTAGGATACTACCCATTGTCAATGAAGTATCAAATGGTTTTGGGTAGTATTGCTGTTGTACATGGTTCATTAGCAGTCTGTCATCATGTACAAATTTTGAATGGAAGACAGGCATTGTAAAAAAAATTCTCATCTTGCCCGAAAATTGGCATTGTTGCAATAGTCTCCCTGTATTCTTTTAGCTAGGTCTTCGCTGTTGTAACTGTCTCTTACACTTCTATTCACAATTCTAACATTGGAAACTGCCCGGTGGATTCCAGCCTGTTCGCTTGCTCGTATACGATCGTGGATTATAAGTTGGAACAATATTTTTCTCTCACATCAAACCAGCCAGCGGTAAATAATCCACGATCGTTTACGATGAAACGAACAGGCTATTGATTCTTGCTATATCAGTATAGCGCAAGGTATCTGCTTATTTGCAATAATGTGTTCAGAAGCTGCCGTAGTGAGTTTAATTGTCATTATCCGATGGTCGAGCATCAGAGAGTGAGCTCAAGGTAAGATCCGTCGTGCCTAGGGATGGCAATCCTACTTGCCGATGTGGGTACTCACGGGTGTGGGTGTTGGTACAAAATTTCACTCGTGGGTATAAGTATGGATATAAGATTCTACCCATTGGTCTATGTGTGGATATATTGTTTCTCATCTATTCTAGTTATAATATAACTCGCTGATGTGGGTACCCATGGGTATCATATCCAACGTGGGCGGGTACAAATAGGGGTGCAGTTATAAAATAATATCTGTTACATAATTCGTCACGGATAGGTTTTACTCCGCTCACATCTTACTTGAAATAGCCTATAATGCAACATCATTTGTGGTCTGGTGAAGCTGGAATATGTGACGGAGGCAACACCTTTCACTTGGTGGGAGGAAGATAAGGAGTTCAGGTCAGATAAATAAAACGGACTTGGTAGCGCCCGGACGTCCCATCCGAGTGTTAGCGTCTGGACGCTGCCCCGCACAAAGAGCGAACGAGCGTCTAGCACCTCGGGTTCATGAGGGGGCGCACCAGTAGTGGTCCCGCGCCGCCCCGGACGTCGCCCATGCCGTCCTGGACGTCGTTCGCGCCGCCGGACGCTTCCCACGGCCATCCCATGTGCAACACCCAATCTACTTTTAAAACATCCAAATGCAACAGTTGCAACTTACAAAAAGAAGACAGATGAAACACTTGAAACAAGCGTCTGAAAACACTTGCGAAAATGCTTGAAAAACATTTGAAAACCATTGCAAACATATGCAACATCCAGATAAAACACTTGCAGATATACGTATGAAACAACTGAAAACACTTGAAACATATGCTTGCAACATGCATGTATATGCAACATCTAGATCTACTTCTGCAACATCCAAACAAAAAACTTACAACATTCATCTAGAACAGATGAAACATTTGGAACATACACTTGAAACGTATGTGTATAGCCATTACAACATGTGCAACATCCCGATCTACTTTCGCAACATCGATATATAACACTTACAACATACAAAAAAACATCTAAAACACTTGAAACATACTATTGCAACATGCGCTTCAGCATAGCATCTGTTGCTGCTTGAACGAATGGAGGCTCATCGATGTGGAGCTCAACGCCGACCGGGAGCTCAAAGCCGCAAAGTGGCGAGAAAGTAGTTGGTGTGGAGCTCGGCGGCGGCACGGACCTCGGCAGGAGCAGGGGCAGGCGAATGGAGCACGGCCGCGACGGGAGGCGCGAGTTCGGGAGCGAGCTAGAGAGCACCTAGCACGTCGGGCTCGCCGTGCGCGGCACGGCGCGGGCGGGGGCAACGGGGTCCGTCCGTCTGGACGAACGCCTATAAGGAACGTTTTCATAAATAAAAATCTTGGTTTGAAATTTGGCAGATGTAGAGTTAATCAGCATGTTCGCTTATTGGTTTCAGCCAAAGCTTATCAGCCAGGCAACAGTATTTCCTCTCACAACAAACCAACACCAGCCGGGCTTATCAGTCCAGAAACCAACCAGCAAACATGCGAATATATTTGCTACCTCTTTCTATTCAGTCTAGCCAAGTTGCGCGGTTGATAGATTTCTCTCGGCAGATATAGCAGATATAGCACGGGGGCTCGAGCCCCTGCCCCACCCACCGTTATTGGAAGCATGGAGTCCCTCCTACGCTCCCACTACAAATTTATAGTCATTTATTTAAGCTTGGAAAAGGATAAATATAGAAAATAAGGGGAAGAGTCCTTTCTATTATTTATTATTATTACCTTAAGATGATTCAACGGTTAGCAAGGTCAAACATTAAAATGTTTCGATCTGTATAAATATGGACAGAGTTCTGATAGGAACTTTAGAATTTTGTATCTAGAGTTATAGTCCCCCAAAAGTTATGTTCTTGAATGTTTTGGAAAACCTAATAAAAGTACTACAACTCTCTTGTTGTCACCAAGAGATGATTCAATGGTTAACAACACAACCTTTCAGTACTGCACAAAAAACAAGTAAAATATAACAGGAATTTGCAAAATTAATAACTCCCAAACATGTTGGCCTAAAATCATAAAATTTTAGGACAACTAAGATCAACAAGTTATCTACAACTTTTTGCGTTGACAAGGTTCACGGCAAACATCATTTTCATCACGAAATCATCACTTGTTATCTACAACTTCTTCTGTATTATGAATTCTGGTCCTTTAATGAATACATTAAAATTTAAATGGGCTTTTTGCCCACTGTTGGTTCATTTAAAAATCATTGTGCCAGCTGAATGTTTATAGCTGGTGAGATTTCTTATGGTGGACCTTATCATCTTGAATCCTTGAAGCCAAAGCCAATTCACTCTGACCCATTTATTAACCTCATGTAATAATTACATAGTTAAGAAACGAGACAACATACATGGCAATTTGACTTTGCTGCAGGTCAGGTCTATACGCTACAACCACCTATAAACAATGTTTACTTTTGGTCTTATGTATTTTTTTGCATTGTGTTAATAGTTTTGGTACTAGGAGCGCGTCATTGCATACACCAAGTACGGGATCAATTACGAGACAATCCAACCACCACTGATGGCGAGGTGGACTAAAGACAATGTTGGTCTTCGATGGCATGCTTTTAATCAGGCCGGCCTATATGAAGGAACTGTAAGTTTCGAAACATACCATCAATATGCTGCTGTTCATACGCGTACATCCTAACTATCTTATTAATTGCTTCCAGCTTATGACCCGCACTACTGGTCAGACCACCCTGCAGCAGACCACCAAGCCAAAAAATATAAAAACAGAAACATCAATGTCAGAACAAGCGCCAACACGTGAGGAGGGTCTAAGCAACGAACAAGTATGTATCACACCTATTTATGTGCACAACCTCGTTTGTGTGCCTAATTCATTCTTTCCTATTTATGTAGAAGCAATTCCTTGAAAAATGGGCGAACAACAGCCAAACGGACATTGCACTAGCAATGGAAAAAAATTATGGATATAGACCACAAATATGATAGGAAAATATTATCACAAAACGAGGAGTTAACTAAGATTAGAAAGGAGAAAAGGCTGGACAACAGACTGGAAGCTAGGGTGAGCAAGATAGAAGATGATACTACACAAATAAAAATGGATATCAAGGTAACTAGCGTGAGTACTCATTTTCGGTTCCCATCTGTGCTTCATTGTCTAACACAATTTCTCAAAAACAAAAAACAAAAAATACAACAGGTACAACAACAAATCCTTCAGCTACTGCAAAGTATTGTTGACCCATCTACGCCAACATCTACACAAGGTTAGCCGTCTATGGCTACATCTTCGCAAGTTCGGTTATCTATGCCTACATCTGCACAAGTTCGGGTATGCAAATGTGGCTTCAGTTGCTTTGTCTAATGTTGGATTTGATATTTTGAAATTTAACAAAAAATACCAACTACAGGAATCACCACAGATACTAGTCAAGAAGTCAGAACCAGGTGGCCCACTGCATTTCTCCCATGCACTGACGAGAATCAATGCTGAAGCACACACTGGAACAAAAGTTAAGATGAAAAAGAACACGCAGCAGCAGAACAACCCCTCCACACAACACCAAGACGACGCCTCTACACACATCACACCAAGAAAGCCAATTGTCGACAATGATTACAAAGTGAGTCCAATAGACACAGAAGTTGGATGCTTCGTACTAATGAGTTACGACCATGCTAAGGTTGTACAAATAGGTGACCATGTTCTTACAAATAACAAACAAGCTTACGCCTCTAATTTCACAGATGGCTTTATAGTAGATGAGATAAACTGATTTCAGGTCCTTTTGTCCACAATAACATGCAAACACCTACTATGTACTAATAACTCCACCCTTTGCGGTCATAAATGCCTATGTTGATTTCAAAGAACGTGGAGATCAAGAGGCATCATTCATAACAACTTTTCAAGCCGTGAAGTTGGCTACTGAGATAAACTGGGTGACCAACGTCGACATTTAAGAAGTTAATTGCCGACAAATGTGTTCAAGGCATTTGGTATGTAATACCGATTTTGTTTGGACACTTTTACTTGACATTTGCATTCGTGGATAATATCCGTATTTATTTTTCGTGATAATATCCGCATTTGGTATGTAATACTGATTTTCAAAGTTTTTTAGGTTTTCGTGCCTATGCATATAAACAAAACCACTTTGGGCTCTACTAGTGCTAAATTTTATAAAGAAAGAGGTCCAATGCACTTAACTCCTTAGCCTCAACCCGAGATGAAAACCAAGAGAAGGCATTGGTAAGTACAACGTAACACGTACCACCTATTCAATTATAATTACATTCGATCAAATTTAACATCTATCTCACCATCCACTAGGTGGAAAGCATACAAGAATGCATTGATTCTTGAACAACGATGGCTTGGTTAACTTGCGCTGCGTCTGAAACGAATTCCTTATCATAGCATACCGCAACAAATGTATTCGTACTCCTTTTCCCTTTTCTACATTAATGTTCTACTTAAATTACTAATTCTTATGTTCATTGCGGTCATTCATGCGGGCGTTCATAATATTTTATATGCTGGCATGGGATGGAGAAAAAATGGCATTTTATTTCACAAACGTGAGTCTTACAATCCTTGTTAATTCCAAATATCTACAGACTCATTCAATAATTGTTTTATGACAGTGCACTATTTTCACTTGTATAGACACAAATGCAAGGATTCAAACGGAGAATCTGCACGAGGTTGCTCCTTTCTGATCGCAACATGAGACGACAACAATCGTACCAAAATCCTGTCACGGTCTGAACTTTTAATTCATATTAAAAATGATCCAGATGCATCAACTTATACCAGAATCGTACAAAATATGCTGGGTCTAACATTTTTCTTGATGATTCTTAGGAGGAAGAGTACTATGCAAACAATCCGGATGAACAATGCCAGCATGAACATGCTGAAAATTCAAGCGATGTTCAAATAATAGAAACTAAAACTCCAAATCCTGAGGCCAGCACGAAAGAAGGGAAAGGAACAAAAGGAGGGAAAAGAACGAAAGGAAAAGGATCTGAAAAAGGAATAGGAGCTCAAAATAGGAAAAGAGGACGACCGCCAAAAAAAAATTAGTTGTCAATACTCCTCCCACTCGTCATGAGATGAATTTAGTAGTGAATCTATCGCTAAACGAGTTCAAAGGACCAAGAATCCAGGAAGCAATGAGACCGACCCTTTTAGGCCTTTTTAGAACTAATGTGATGTCTATTTAGTAAGCTATATTTGATCTTTAGTTTATCCAGATGGCTAGAACGATGTGTGTTCGAGACCTAAACGATGTGCTAAACTAAATTCATGTGTGTTCAAAGCAAATACTTAGTCAAACATCTACCGGGAGACGCCGGCTTAAAAAGAATCACACAAAGATATACAAGAGAGTGTATCAACTGCATGTATGTTGCATAACAAATGATTCTCCAATAGTGTCATTATCAATCAAATCGTTCAAGCAAAGTTGGGATTCCTTCTCCCATAGTCCTTACTAAGCTGATTCATTTTCTAAATAATAAACTATGCATCATAAATTTTTCAAATGAGTCTGCATCAATTCCTCAGTAATTCTAGAGGCTCACAGGCAAGGTAGCACGACTCATTATATTTCTAGAAAGGAGCACATTGCCACTAGAAATGCAAATATCATAATATTGAATGCACAATGACATGACAACAACTTATGTGTAGTGTAACAAAACTGTGGCAATTATCAGTAGCAAGATGTAGTAGAAGACCAACCAAAGAGATACATATCGAACATCCCCAGATAGAGGTAATCGTTGCCACTACCGTGCACTCGAATCCAAAACTCTCATCAGAACTTCCCAGATAAGCAAGCAAAAACCTTGCTACATGGCTTCACGGGAAGGGGTGAAAGAGGGTACCATAGGGGCACGCTTCTAAATATCTGATGGTTTTGTGCAAGGGCACGCTTCTAAATGTGCAGCAAACATAAGAGGGAACAAACAAAACATATAGTCAAGTCCTTTCAACTTTACCCAAAAAAGTAATCAACCCGAGCAAACACAATGCGTATAAACTATCGAGAAGAATGCCGCAGCATTTTGCTACAACGTGACAAACCAAATCAAAATAATCAAACAAGTGGAGGAGGAGAGGAAGGGGTGGGGCGCCGGACCCGGCAGAGCCACGCCGATCATCGTCAGGCCGCCCTCAATGTTGGTCGGCGTGGGAAGAGGAAGCCGCCCAGGCGCTGCATCGCCGAGGCCGACCGCTTCCCGGCTCGGCTGAAGTGCTCGGCCTGCCTTGCGCGCCGACGAGATCTAGCAGACGCTGGGGTCACCCTCTTGGTAGCTTTCTGAAATAAAAGGGGCAGGACAAAGATATAAGACCATGATGCTAAAAAATAAAAATAAGAAGTCATTAACAACCAGAAAACATTAAGAAAAACTAAGGTAGCATCATGTCAAAATTCCATCAACTGATTCAGGAAGTTGCATTTAGCGAGATGTTTTACAAACAAAATCAAAATGTGACTTAGCTTATATGTCATGTCTCGCCAATAAATATCTGCCTCTAGAACTAGTGACATGAAGTAATGAAATCCTCCGATTGCCAAAGGTGAGATGAGACATGATGATCATATATATCGAAGGTACGAGCTGCTGGGACCACACAGCAATAAAATGTCTGGCTACGAGCCAATGACACACAACACAAGTATCAGAATTCCTATATCCAGCCAACCATAGTCAAATTTCATAGTTGCCTAGTCTTTTCAGGCAACTTTCTATAGAAAACCAACACAACTAAATAAAGTGCAGTCAAAGTCTGAATTTAGTTCAATCTGGTTCCAGAGCTGTTTGGTCGAATCATACAAAATAAACCCTAGAATTGTTCTCCCATGCATAATCATTGACATAGCATGCAAAAGGATGCAGTGAACTATGAAGAAAGAGTTACCCATCCTTGTAGAGGAAGACCACAACCCAAACATCTGATGGTGCCTGAGACACCTCCCGCACGAAGTCCGAGCCAGTGATGGGAACTATACTACCAAATCGCGCGGCTTTTGCTGCCTCCCTCAGCTCTGCGAGCCTCATCTTCCTGTAGGCATGGAATTACATCAAATCGTCACAATCAATTCCCACTTGTACCAAACGAATCGCAAAACGCATTGAATAATCCAAAGTCCGGAACTACTGCGAGGAATCCGGATCAACAATAGAAAGACATCAGATTCCTATCAGAAGCACACGAATTATACCAATTAACCACGCTAGTCAGATCAGATCAATCAAACGCGGCAGGCACTAAAGCTTCTTAAAATGCATCTAATAACAGACGGGGAAAAGACAGCATCACGGATGAGCAATCAGACTGCAGACCGGATCAACCCTACGGAGTTACAGTAATGATCCTGGTATCATTTCCACGAATGTTTTAAAACTATAGTTTTGCCATTCCCAAAGCACCACACCTAGCTTAGTAGACTGATCAATTCAGATCATTCAGCGGCAAACTCATATTATACCTCAATTTTACAACCCAAACCAGTCATAATGTAAATTAGGTAAAACTTCTGTTTACGAATCATGTGCTAAAAAGTGCATTTAGTGAGAAGTTTTAGAAACAAAATCACAATGTGGCTAAGCTTCCATGTTATGTCTCACCAATTAATATCTGCCTCCAGGACGAGCAACTTGGAGTATTGGAAAATCTCCAGATTGCCAAAGGTGAGATGAGGCAAGAAACACAACAAAGCTGTTTAAAAAAAAGATTATTCAATGTACAAATGTTTCTACGCCCATAGTTTTTTCGTCCAAAAGCAACAGGCCTATTTGACCTAACAATTCGGATTATTCAATCATCAAACCTCCTCAATTATCTAACATTAATGATACACCAAAAGTAACATTGCAGTTCAAATACGCAAAACCAAGCTAAGTCATCCACTAGAGTATGTAATCCAGCAGAATCCACCATACCAAAATGCCAATCTCTTACCATGTCAAAAATAAAATTATTGTACAAAACAGTCAGCGTTCTTTTATGTCCAATACACAAATCATAAATTCATAACCTGCAATTCAACTAAGATATATACAAGCACGGCACAAAATAGCAGGATTTTGGTCCTATAGGCTAGATTACACATGCAATTGAGATCGTAGAGCAGTATTAAGAGATCGGAGGCTTCGACACGGATATTCTTACCCCCTAGCGATCGGACGGGCGAAGCGCCAGCTCTCGCTTGGTGACGACGTGTCCCTTGTTTATGCCAACGAAGAGACCTGACTTGGCCTGCGTCGGTGCCATGGCCGGTCTCGTGCTAGCTACGCTGACCTGAAACGAACGCAATCGAAGAAACCAAATCGAATTAGACACAAAATGAAGCTGAGATGAAACGAACGCATTCGAAGAAACCAAATCGAATTAGACACAAAATTAAGCTGAGAGACTTGTAGCTTCGGGTGCAATTGGGATTGAAGACGGTACTTGAGGTTACCTGAGTGGGGCGCGAGCGAAACCCTAAGCCGCCGGGCCTGGATCTCGCCTCCTCCACCGCCATCGCCGGATCTCACGCGGTGTTGGGTGTAGGAGCCCGCAACCCTCCTCGTCCTCCTCCACGGTGTCGATCCCGCCATGGTCAGCCGCTCGACTGGACCGCTGCGTCATGAGCGCACCTCGCCGCCCGCACCCTCCCGCCCGTGGATGCCACCGCCGCCCTTGAAGGGGCGCGGGACGCCTCGCCCAGATCTCGCCTCCTCCACCGCCATCGCCGGATCTACGCGGCAGCTGCCGTTCGCCAGAGATCGGTGAGGAGGATGGCATGCCACAGGAAGCCGCAGCCCTGCCTCTCGCACTTCGCCGCATGCAGCCACCGCCCTCGTCCTCACCACCCCCTCGCACTTTCATTTGACAAGACACACAGAGAGAAAGAAGGGCCCGAGAAAGAACAGAGCGACTGAGAGAGAGGGGCCGGCCTACGTTGGTCCAAAGAGAATAATACGTGAAAACACTGTAGTACTTCAATCGTACTCTGAACATTATTTTTCTATCCTTGATTTACTGTTCTACCCTCAATTACGTAAAATAATTTCAAAAATAGAAAATTTCCCACTTTTTTCATGTGCTGATCCGATCAATTTTAGTATGCACCCGGTGCGTATGATCCCACCATTTAGTATGCACCTGGTACCTCTCGGTACCTCTTAAATTGGTTCCTCTCGGTTCCTTTGCCTTTTTAGCCGTCGGATCGGTCCTCGTGAGCCGTCCATTTTATGACAACCATTGTAAAAATTCTCTTGAATTTTATGACAGATTAAGACTTGAAAACAACATTGTGGGGTTTCATCTAGATGAAACTTATTTTTATCTTTTTTTAATATCTAATGCCATATTATCAAAAGTTGCCTTACAACAGTAGAACATGATCATCGACATGTCCTTGGTCACTTCATTTTCTATAGGAACTTTTCTCTGTGTGCCATTATAAAAGATCGTAATTCCCTTTGTGCCCCTGGAAAAATTCAGCGGTCTTCAGCGCCACTACTTCAACTTTTTCGGGTCCTCCATGCCACTTCCGTCAGATTCGGGGCTCTTGCCGTCAAACTACAGTGTGAAAAGACGAAAATGCCCTTAAGTTCAAATATGTTATTAATTTTTTTGAGCATCTTAACGACTTCAAATGAAAAACTCAAAACTAGAAAGTTGTAGATCAAAACTAGAAAATTGTAGATTTAATTCCGAAAAAATATGATGATTTTTCTAAGATATATTAATCATATCAAATCATATTTTTTTTAATTCGAATTAAATAAAATACTTTTTTTATGAAAATTATAGATCTCATCAAGATCTACAACTTTCTAGTTTTGAGTTTTTTCATTTGAAGTCGTTAAGATGCTCAAAAAAATTAATAACATATTTGAACTTAAGGCATTTTCGCCTTTTCACACTGGCAGCTTGACTCAAGTTAGAGCCTGAATTGACGGAAGTGACATGGAGGAACCGAAAAAGTTGGAGTAGTGACGCTGAAGACCGCTGAATTTTTCCAGAGACACACAAAGAATTATGATCTTTTATAATAGCACACCGGGAAAAGTCTCTTTTCTATATGTATTGTGCATTGTTGTGGATAATGCGCCGTCCCGCCGAGTTGTGCATCGTTGCGCTAGAGCTGGTGGCCAGCCTTGCTAGCTGCCTAGCTGCTGCTGCTACAGACTACTACAGTCCAAGCTACCCACCAGGACCCTCACGCCATAAATTTCATGAAAACACAAATCACATCGCGCTGGCGGTATAGCACCCTATGTCCAAAAATAATAAATTTATTTGACTAAAGAGAAGTCAGATGGAAAGAGATTTTAACATATAATATGTTCTGAACTGCTAAAGAATCATGATATCTTAAAGATATTTTAAATTTAAATTTAAATTTACCGATACAAGTTTTATATCTAAACTTACAAATAGTTTAACTAATTATTAGTGAAAATTTACGAAATTTAACTTTTCAGTTAAAAAAACTTAATCATCTGTACACGAAGGGATTAAAACTCTGTCAAAGAACTCAAATATCCATCCCGGATATAAAATAATAGGGATCCCAAAATAATACCATCCAGCATTTTTCCTTAGAAAAAAGGCGCTTGTCCTGACAAAAGCAAAATAAAATATTCAATCCCTTCCGCTCACCACCCCGCATCTGGAGCTTCACCACCTCACTCGCTGTCGCTCCCAGCCTCGAGTGCTCGCTCACTCCACTCCAATAGTGGCGGCGAGATGCGGAGACAGATCCCTCCCGTCTCCTGCCTCGTACTCCTCGCGGCGGCTCTCGCGCTGCTCGCCGCGGCGTCCGCAGCGTCGCCGGCGCCGGCGGCCGTCGCGGTCAACGTGACGGGCGTGCTGTCGGCGTTCCCGGACCTCAGCGTCTTCACGCGGCTGCTGGCGTCCAGCCCCGTGCTGGCGGAGCTCGCGGGGCGGTCGTCGCTGACGCTGCTGGCCGTGCCGAACGGCAACCTCCCGCAGTCGCCGTCGGCGTTCGCGGCCGCGTCGGGCGCCGACCTCGCCGACGTCCTCCGCTACCACGTCCTCCTCGAGTACCTGGCCCCCGCCGACCTCCGCCGCCTTCCCGCCTCCGGGAAGCTCGTGACCACGCTATTCCAGACCACCGGCCGCGCCCCCGCAGACCTGGGCACCATCAACGTCACCACCGCGGGCGCCTCCCTCGCCGTCGTCCGCTCGCCGGCGCCGTTCCCGGGCTCGAACGCCACCGTCCTCGGCTCCATCACCGCGGTGCCGTACAACCTGAGCGTGCTGGCGGTGAGCGGCCTCATCGTCCCCACCGGGTTCGACCTCGCGGCGTCCCAGTCCCGCCAGCCCGCGGCCGTCAACATCACCCGCGTCCTCGCCGACGCGCGCGCCTTCAACGTGGCGGCGTCGATGCTGGAGGCCTCGGGCGTGGCGGCCGAGTTCGAGGACGACGAGCGCGGGGCCGGGATCACGGTGTTCGCTCCCACCGACGACGCCTTCGCGGGCCTCCCCGCGGGCGACCGCCTGCAGTCGCTCCCCGCCGACCGCAAGGCCGTGGTGCTCCGCTTCCACGTGCTCCACTCCTACTACCCGCTGGGGTCGCTGGAGTCGATCGTGAACCCCGTGCAGCCCACGCTGGCCACCGAGTTCAGCAACGCCGGCCGCTTCACCCTCAACATCACCCGCGCCAACGGCTCGGTCGCCATCGACACGGGCGTCGTGCAGGCGACCATCACGCGGACCGTCTTCGACCAGAACCCCGTCGCCGTCTTCGCCGTCTCCAAGGTCCTCCTCCCCAAGGAGATGTTCACCCGCACAGCAGGTGGCGGAGGCGACTCCTCCATCGTGGCTGCCACCGCCGCCGCGTCCTCGCCCCCGCCAGCCGCGACAGCCCCGGAGGCCTCCGAGAGCGCGCGGACGCCGCCGACAAAGCTCTCCTCCCCGCCCGCGCTCCGCGGCGGCGGGCAGGACTACGACACGGCGTCGGCGCCGGCGCACGGGATCGGAATCGGCTGGTGGTGTATAGCATTGGTGTACCTACTTCCACATCTGGTATGAGATCCGGGACGACTTGGTCAGTCCATTGCCATTCCTCTTGTGCTCAATTTTTGCCTTTCTTTTGTTTTCTCTTTTTTTTCTTTTCTTATTTGGGTTTTGCTAGAATCTGTACACTGGGAGAGGGAGATGAAGAAGAAGATTGAGCTGCGAAAACAAAGAAAAATGCAGCAACCTTTTTAAGTAAGAAGAAACAGAATTGGTTATTGGCCATCATCAAAAGGGGAATAACAGTACCGCCCTGTAAAAATCCAATCAAAATCCATTGCATTCCTTTGCTCCAATTGTTCCATATCGCAGCCGACGCTGCTTTTACCATCAAAACTATATATTCTTGTGCTACATTGCAGCTGCTTCAGCTCCATTTTTGCCTTGTCGATTTGCTCTGATTGAATTGGAAGCGTGGAGCTGGGTCTGGGAGGTACTAGCAGGTGGAAGCTGCAGTGCAGTGCAGCCAATGCTCACCGGGCGGTGAGGGGAGTGGTGGTGGTGGGTGGCTGGCAGTGAGCTGGCAGGCGGGGGGTGGGGCCGCGGCAGTCAGCCGTCAACACGCCCCCGGCTAGATTCGATCGCCTTTCGCTTGCGTCGCATCGCCAGACGTACGCCCGCCCCCCGTGCACTGGCACCCGCGCGTCTGCTTCTTGTCGCCCCCCCCGCCCCCGCCACCGCCACCGTCACGGCACGCCCCCGGCAGGAATTCGGAAGGAATTCCGGCTCCAGGCAACCAGGCTCCAGTGCGTGCGTCTGTGCGTGCAATGCAGGAGAGCTGGAGAAGAGGGGAAGCCAGGCACGGTGAAAAGCGGGCGAAAGCTCTCCCAATTCCCCATCTTCCTGCTCCATCATGACTCATGAGCCGCCTACTACACATCATTGGGTTTGGGTCAGGTCTGATATGAAGGCTGGTGAATGGCGATGGATTTTCTCTCTCATCTTTCGTGGCGAGGACGAGGAAAAGGAACCGCCTCCCTTGGGACCCGGCGCGAACGCCGCGGAAGGCAACGGCACTGGAAGTTCTGGCGTTCCAAAACGGCCGGGGACGAGCGGTCCACCGAGGGCCTCAGCAGTTGGAGCTGCAGAACTAACTAGTGTCCTCAATCCTCATTAACTGTTACTCTACTTACTGTCTGTTGTTATTATGGTGACCGATGATTGGTTGTTCCTGAGCTAAGCGTTCACGGCCATTGGAGTGAGATCGATCATCGATGGGCTGTATGATTGGAGGACGGAGTGTGATTTCATGCCGAGGAACGAGCTGCGTGTGTGATTGCGGGAATCATTCAGCGCGAAGCGAAAACAAGCATCGCTCTCAGCTTCTGCTATCTGGACCTCTCTACTGCATTGGCATCTGGATCCCTCCCTACCCTCCCCGGCCGGCGGGGACATCCATCCATCCATCCATCCACAGCAGCCAGCAGAGAGCCCCTCGATCTTTCACGCCAACTCGAGTGGAGTGGAGTTCAGTGCGGCCGCCGATCCATCATCCATGCATGCTAACATCAGGCAGTGAGGGACACATGGAAGCATGCTCGCTCACGGGGAGTTTCCTTGCAGACTGTTGGCTTGGCTTTGGCTTTTCAAACAAATTTCAAACCAAATGAAAGTCGATAGTTTTTTCTTATAAAAAATCAAGCCCAACCATCCTAAACCAAAGACCGATCAAATGAACAAATCAGCGTTACCTACAGCTGCAACTACAAGTGGCAAACTGAATCCAGTTGGGAGGACCCATTGGCGCTTCTACGTGGAAGAAAGAGGAGAGTCGAGGCAGGCAGGCAGGCCAGCAGGCTTATCGGTTCGGAATGTGAAAGCCTGGCACGCCGTGTCCGTTCCCAAATTCCCAGTGGCAGCTTATGTGGTGTGGTAGCAATAGCAAGCACATAGCAGCACCGCCGCACCGGCACGTGGCTGAGGCTGAATTATTCGCCTACCTCGGGCCCTCCTCGGCTCGCAACTGCAAGCTACACTATCCGTGACGCCTACTGTAGTCAGTAATCAGCGAGCGAGGCGTTGTTTGTTGGCGGCTCGTCGGATCGGCGCGCGCGAGTGAGCTGGGCCTGGGGCCCATGCCGGTTGCCGCCTTGCCGATAGAGCACGAGGCCTGTGAAGCTGTGCGTTGGACCCGTGTTTCGTCGGTTGCGGCGTGCGAGTGCGACGGCTCCAGCAAGTCCATCGTGCTTCCTGCTTCGCCTACCTGCCCTCCAGCGTCCGGCGATGAGCAGAGCTCTTCGTGGGCGCACGGTTCATTTGTTTGTACTACGTACGTATGTGCTCTGTAGAGTGGTTTTTGTAGTACAAGGGAATTTGGAACTGCATTATACGATGCCGTGGCCTGTGCTAACCCCCTGTAGCGTTGAAACCAGACACCGGGAAACTACTGCTAGTCTGTTACAAGTTGACAGCCCCAGTAGTGTGTAGTACGTACGAGAACATGCCACGTGACAGAGAATCGCTGTTAGGTCGAAACGTAGACATGAGAACTCGCAGCGAGCTCGGTATGTACCAGAGGATTGATGGATGCCCCAATTCGATCGATCATTCATCCGTCTTAATGAGATTGCGGTTGGTAGTAGTACACGTCCGTGTAGCTGTACCGTAATCCACTAATCCGTATTCTGGGTCGCACACGTGTCGACGTGTGTGTAATACTACTGCGCATCCGCGTCGCACACCGGCTCTAGACACCTGTTGCTTCTGAATGGTAGTAATTATATATATCTAAGTATGTACGGAGTACTAGATAAGGCCAGCGTTCAAAGTACAGTAACCATGGCTTACTACAAACGGAAGCGAGGTCAAAATTGCCAGAGTCAAGTGCTTCAGACCTTTTCAGTGGTCACAGCGCGCTTTTAATTGAGAGTCTGAGATCAATGCGAAGCGAGTATAGTTTTGAGTTGCATATTCGATCAGCCCCCAAAAAAACTTAAGCTAGTAAGAAGAGCGGATAAATTTACTTTATACTTATGATACAGAGGCCCCTTAGGGCTTAGATGTACATGGAATATGAGCGAATAACAATTATTCATATTTAGTTGTGTCCGTCAGCATTCGAAATCGTTATATTGTTGTATGCATACATTGACCGATTCAATCTGATAGGTGACATTTGGATTATATATGGGTTATGATAGGTGAGAAAGGAAGGATAGGTTTCCCACTATTTGGTAAAAGGTATATGGAAAAGAGCTGGGTTCGGGACATGAATAATAAAAAGAGACTCATATCCAAGGCAAAAAAAAATTATGCACATCCATAGTGCATCTATTGATGAACATTGCCACAAAACTTGACATCAAACACGTTTTGTAAAAAATCATACAAAAATAACAAATTTGCATGCATTAGAAGACAATTTCCTTGAAATTTTGTCTTGTGCATATGCATCAGAAATCTGTTATCTTCGTTTAGATGGAGTTTGAATCTCAAATTTGTGGCAATGTCCATCAATAGATGCACGATGAATGTGCATAGTTTCAAACATTTTAAAAACTCTTAGTATATTCAGGAGGATAGTTTTCATGATTACATTAAAAATATAGTTTGCAATGAATATTTTGCCTCCATATCACATGCCTCTGACGGCCGGAGAGGGTGGGTTATGAGTTATGACTGGAAAATCGTAACTGTGTCCTATGTATGCCGTAGTAGTATATACTAGTACTCCTACTACAGCAGGACTAGTAGATGGTGAACACGTAGAGCAGCACAATCTCAGAAACAAACAACCAAAGCGGCAAGAGGCACTACTACATAAAGTTTACTGGAGGCGGGCGATTTGGGTTTCCCGCGGCGGGCAAAGCCGTCCGCCGCGGCCTACAGGCCACGGTAAATCGTGGCTTAACCAACATTTTGCTCGCCGCTGTTAATTTATTTATTACGGCAAGCGCGTGTAACGTGCCGCTGCGGTAATATATACTTACCACGGCGGAACGCGTACGCCGCCCCGCGATAAATAGGTTAACATGGCGGGGCACCTTTTGTGGCCCGCCGTGGTTATGTTGATTTGCCGTGGCGGGCTTTATTATTTGCCCGCCTCGGTAAATTATTTCAATTAAAAAAATAAAGCGAGCATATATATAAATTCAAATAAAATACATCAAGCATATAAATTCAAATTCAAATTCAAATCACATCCAGATTTCACAGATTAAACTTAAAAAGTATGCAGACATTACACATGAAATAATATACATATATATATATATACATTCACTTAGTCGTTCTTGTCATCGTTAATTCATTACATTTACATATTATTAAAATCATATTATACATGCGCTTAAAGTGTAATCCTGCGGACGCATCATCGTGGGCCATTTCCTCACCTCTCGTATTCTCGGTAACATCGCTAGTGGGGTTGTTCTCATGGAAGAACGTGCCCCTTTGCAGCACGCATTTGTCTAAGACTAGAGGAGGTGAGAGAGAGAGAGTAGAGTAAGAGAGAGTAGAGTAAGAGCTGCAGAGGAGGATAGTAGAGGAGTAGGCGAGAGAGGAGGAGGGAGTAGAGGAGTAGGCGGAGATCGAGGAGGAGGGAGTAGAGGAGGAGGGAGTAGTAGTAGGCGTAGTAGTAGTATATACAACAGTATATAGCGTGTATATAGGAGTAGTATAGGAGGACAGTGTAGCAGCATAAGTATAGGAATAGATTAAGTAGAGAAATAGGTAGCACCACCACCAAAATAATATCAAATTTGGCAAAATTGCAGCAGAGTGGCCAATTCATCTCAAAATTCTCACAACTTTAGCATGTGATCGGTTTAAAGGCAAGGTGCATCATAGGCGGTGCCATATATGCTCGAAAATTTGTCACAAATTTCTTTGGCATCATAGGCAAAGACAAAAATTTGAATTCAAATGCTACGGTTCAAAAAAAGCATCATAGATCAAGAGTATAGCAAAAGTGTAGTTTATCCTGTACAATTTTCAGCCGTCCATTCCAAAAGGAGTTTACTATACCCCTTGTTCACAAAGAGGTCATCTCAAAATTAAGTATAGGAATAGATTAA